GGAACCTTTTCATAGTACCAGAACTAATTGTGGAACTACCCACTTTTCGGCGTGTTCGCACCGCCAGAACTAGGAGCGATTTTAGTGCCGGACTGCCTTTTTCGAGAACCAAATTAGCTCCTACTCCGGAGCAGGGTCTAACCAGCATAACTGGTACTAATCGTGACGTAAGTAGACATTGATTGGCCAAACGCGTATGAAAACGCCCTCACCCGCCATGATTTAAAACGCTGTGTAAACATACTGTAAGCATGTCAACTTATTTCGCAAGTATGGAGAACAGCGATAGATGGACGGACGCTGAAGTGCAGGCACTTGTAGCAAATGTAGCACTGCCGGTTGTCGTTGGAGATTCTTAGTCCTCCTTTCCGTTCTTTCAATCGCTTTACGTATACGTCGACTTTCCATGTCCATTATTGTGAAACCCGCGAGACACAACAAAAACACAGCTCCGATCACAGCGTCCTCCATCCTCCTGTTGTTAATGTTGTTCTTCTTTGTTTCTGTTGTTGAACGCAGCGCACAAATGACGGCGCTGTCGACTGGCTTACGTTACTTCCTAGTACACCCTGACGGTGCGAATGCAACGCTTTAAATGGCTCTGGGAAATAGTTCGTGCAAAATCATCCCAGTACTTTAGTACTGTACATTTAGTTCTGGAGCTAAAGCGGTGCGAAAGGCCCTAATGTTTTTTGTGTGTGTTTCAGGAGCGTGTGCGTTTGTGCTATAAACTGACATATCTTCTGGGGCTTCTAAAGCTATTATCATTCGACTTATTCAAACCAGAAAATGGACCGTTCGACCACCAAATCCAGCAGTGTCCGCCATAATATCGAAGTGCGCATCACTGATCATTGTTCTCGCTAAAATATTTCTCATAACATGAGATCTGCAGTTTAGTTTTAAAGATGAATTAGGCCTACTGTGCACTTATAGCACTCCTGTCATCACCTCCCGTCTTTAAAACATAGCATGCCACAGGAAAATTATGTTTATTGTTAATAACATTGTAATTATGTTGTTTGTAAAATTATGTAATTTCAGTGTCTTCAGTATCTCCATTAATGCGAGTGGAGTATTTAATGTAAATGTGTATATCGACATGAAAACAGAGTTTAAAATCATTGTTTACTTCATTACTTTATTTTTTATAAATCACGGTATGTGCGTGGAAAATTGCGTACGCATATTTCAATGCCCATTTTGTGCTTACGCAATGTTTATAAATGAGACCCCAGATCAGCTAGTTTGGCGTAATCCTACATTAGTACTATTTAATCGTAAATAAAAGTAAATGGAGCACCATTGTTCTGAATATTATAATTAATTTGGGGAATCATGTGTCAAGTCAAATTCCTGAAGTGTCAAGGTGGTGTAACCACCATTCAAGGAGCCATTTTGTTAATATTTTGCAAGAAGTTCATGTGACAGGAAATTATATCACAGAGAAGGACCTCTGGTGATACTAACTGCTGCCTGCAAAGGTTAGTAACTCTCTTTAAAATGTGAGATAATTGGACATTTTTAGGGTTTGGTCAGGTATAGGTATACATGTCAAATGGTATGACCTCAGGAATACATTGATAATTCATCATTATTATAAAAATGAGTATTAACTTTAAAAATCGTATTTGAAATATTCCCACCAAGGCCATGTACTTGCATAGGTGTCCATGATAATGCCTGTCAAATTTGATTTTAAATTGAAATGTCAAGTGGTGTAACCGGTTACACCACTTGACATTTCAATTACAAGCCTTTCTGTTCGGGGCCAATTTAGTCAAATATCACTAGTTTATGATGCTGATTAAAGATGTTATATAAACTAACCTACAATTCGGAACTATTTTCAAGTGTTTAATGTTATATTATTTGAGAAAGTTGTGCTTTATCTACAGCTTTATTATTAAAGCTATGCAAGTCTAGGATAAAATAATTATGTTGCACAACGTTAGTGGTTTTGAAATGTTTAGCTTTAATGCAAATTTCTATTCCATTCACTTACAATTGTAAAGCAATAGTTCACCCAAAAATGAAAATGTACTCAAATTTACTCATTTTCAAGCCATCCAAGGTGCATATGACTTTCTTCTTTCAAACGAATATAATCAAAGTTATATATATATATATATATATATATATATATATATATATAATGCTGGAGCTTTGATGCCAAACACCGATCGGTCTGCACAGCGCCGCTTCAAGTCGAATACACCT